TGAATCCTATTTGGCCTCCCTCAAATTAATAGGATTTCATGGAGCTGAATTATTCTTTCTTTTTCTTATTAAATCAAATCAAGTGTAATGATTACAACCTTTCTTTAATACGCATGGCTATATTCTTTGCCAAAACCATGAATTCCCTTGCCATTTCATTTCCATTTGCATTTAACTTGCATCCAACTTGAATTTCATCCTCCTTTCCAAAATAAAAACATATACACCAACTATTCTCTTAACTTAAAATAGTGAAATTACACATAGGTCCTCTAATTTTTTCTTATTTACTATTTAACCCTTCAAACTTTTTAACCTTTATAAATTGATCTTTTAAATTTTGATAATTACAACTTTAACCCTTAACTTTCCATTATTTATAATTGCAACCTTCAACAACTTATTCTTTTCGATTAGGTCCTCCCATCATTCCTTTAATTTCAATTCTCTTCTATTTTTTTTCCTCTGTACTTGTTCAAATAAAATGTCAAATTCATACTCCACCGAGGTGTCACCATAATATTTAAAAATATACTTACTCTTTCTCACTTAATTTAATGAAGGCACGCGAGCCCCACTAAAACTTCCTTTTCCAAAATTTTTCTTACTTCCACTCCCCCAATTAGATAAATTGTACAAATCACATGTTCTTCATGTAATATAACCAATTTGACATATATATTATTTTGATATTATTTTATCTAAAAATTATTATTTTATTTCAAAATTTTCCTCTAGCCTTCTAGGGCTCCAAAACATCTTAATTTGCCCTGATTTAGCTCTATAATACCTTTTAACTCCACAACTTCAGCCTCAATAAAAGATTATTTTATATAATTTTATCGCATACAAAATATTTAATTTCAAAATATTCCTTTTACCCTTTAACACTCTTAAACACTTTAATTAACCTCAATTGATATCCAATAAGCTTTATTAGCCACCATACCAAAGAACAAGGTATTACAGTCTCCCCCACTTAAAATGAATTCATCCTCGAAATCAAATCAACGTAGGATGAATAATCAAAATTCTAAAATTCTACCACATCACTTTTCGTTTGGCATTTGTAACGTAAGATTTTGGTTTACGCATTACATCAACTTCCAATCTTTATAGAAAACTTGATAATGTCATAGTACAAACAATTATGTGTACTACACTTCTTGAATCAAAACAACATTATTCTTCATCTTATAAAAAGAATTCAAATATGTCATTAATTCTAGTTACACCTCAATCAAATCAACCTTCAATCATCAACCATGCATATGTACATAACCACCCACAATTCCTCTACCTTGATTCTTTTTTTCAAACCTTCCAATATTCAAGCATTTATTCCACCATTGACTATGGGTCTAAATTGTTAACCAATCTCTATTTGGTTTTACGTACTTCCATAGAAATCCCTTTCAAGCATTTCATAATGCATAAGGATCAGAACATGCTTGATTTGTTTCATATATATTCAACATCATGGATGATTCAAATTCGGTAACGATTGGTAACTATATTTCTAAACACAAAACTCCAATACTTTCATGATCAAGTGCTCAAAAGATAAATTTCAACTTATACCGAGTCCCAAAAAGCTTCACAACCCTTGTCTTACCTTACTACGACAATGCATTTTAATAAATAACAACATTCTACATACATCCTTATGGTCTTAACCAATCTCTTTAGTCAATAGCTCAAACTCTTAAGGTTAAAATTACTCACAATTTTCCTTTGAAGTTCTTTACCAAGTCTCATCTTGATTACTAACCATCTCTATAATTCC